GGAGACGGATGTGTCGCATTGGAGAAATCACACCCGGGAGTGGGGGGGAAAACAGAGTCAAGGGGGAAATGTATGATGTGGTTTTGTATCGGCTGACCAATTTACTTTTTCCGAGATGTGGCTAGAGACTTTTGATTTGAATGAAGGTGGATTTATTGGAGCCCTGACACCAATCACTTTTGCTGCTAATGAGAAAACTACACAAGAGAGCAGAATAATAGAGTTGGAAGGGACCTTGTAGGTCTTCTAGTCCAGCTCCCTGCCTAAGCAGAAAACCCTCGATCCTATATCCTGTGCTATTTCACACAAATGGTTGCCCAGTCACCATGGAGTCACCAGGAGTAGCTTGCGACACAAGGGAAACATCATCTTTTCTCCAGGGGTGGGCTTCAAACATTTTAGCAAAAGGTTCTCTGCCCGATTGCTGGGTGGGCGTGGCCATGGTGGGCGTGGCCTAGTCGGCCTCCTGCATCACAGCAGGAGGGGAGGGTGTTTCCCTCCCCGGAGTCCGGAGGCTCTCTGGAAGGGCCTGTTTCTGGCCTTCCTGAACTTCTGGGAGGCCCGTTTTTCATCCTCCCATGCTCTGCACTTACCTACATCCAAAACTGGCTGCGTGGGGACTCCAGGGAAGGGAAGGGAGGGGTGGATGGGGCCAGCCAGGAGTGGGATTTGGGGGTTCTCTGAACCATACAGAATCTTAGCTAGCGGCTCTCCTGAACCCCTGCAAATCCCCAGCAGCCCTCCCCTGATTTTCTCCCACTAGTGCCATAATGGTTGAACAATTACAAACGTTATTGTTTCGGTTGTATACTTTATGTAAGTGTATGTCAACTGTGAAAAAATACAGACAGCCTTTTTGTTCACGGAATAGCTGATTTGGAAGAAGAAAACTCACCAACGCAAAAGAGTCTGTCCGGTGTAGACTGATATCCAGGGTTACAAGCACATTGATATTTTCCTATCAGGTTGACACAATGTCCGTTTCTGCATAGATTTAGACTCAGGTCACATTCGTTGATGTCTGTTTGAAAAATAAAGAGGGAGAGGAATTCAAATCATTAAACCCCCTCGCCTTCCAACAATGCTGCACAAAGGCAAGAGGGCAATGATGTTAGGAACATTTACATGGATAAACCGACAAAAATGAAGGGATAATCCAGCAAAAGTTATAACAAGAGGAGATGAAATTATAGGCAAAAAGGATTTAACACTGTGACACAAATACTGAAAGAGCCAATAACTCATTTCTGGCGTCAGAGAACTATAAATCTTCTCAAAATGTAAAGACTTTGCCAAGAGGTTTAAGCCAAATTCCAGTCCAATGATCCAACTCAAAAAAAAGTTACAAAGAAGAAGGTAGAAACAACATTTTTATTGATCCTCAGCTAAGCTTTGTATTTTCAGTTAAATTCAAGGATCAACAGGCAGAAATGAAACATACAGGTAGTCTAAGTTACATTGGCACTGAAAAAAAGGATTTATGCCCAGTCCTCACAATTACGACCATTGTAGAATCCCCACATTCACTTGATCAAAATTCAAGTGCTTGGCAACTGGCATATATTGATGACAACTGTAGCATCTTCAGAGTGTGGGATCAGCATTAGCGACTTTCCCAGCTGCTTTCAACAAGCAAATTCCTTGGGGGAAGCCACAATCACTTCGTGACTGTTGTGATTCAACTACAGTCATTCTCTTAACAACCCTGTTGCCATGGTTAAGTGAGGATCACGATTGTTGCATAAGTCCCAGTTGGTTTGCAATCTGGCCAGCCGGCAGGTAAATGAGGCGCTGAGGAGGTGCGAGTGTGACAGAACCAAGGTAGGCTGCTGCCGGGCTGGAGAACATGCAAGCAACTTCTGAATTTCCTGCCGTCTTCCCTACTGACTGCACATGGGAACTGGGCAGGAAATGGCAAATGGCAATTACATGCAACCGTCATAAGTGCACGCCGGTTGCCAAGCACCAAAAATCACAATCCCATGATCACAGAGACACTGGGATGGCTGGACATTTGAGGACCGATTGTAAATGCCTCTCATTCAGTGCTGGTTTTAAGTTTGAATGGTCACTGAACAAGGTCATTAAACCAGGACTACCCGTGAGGTAGTGGCTCAGTGGCTAAGACGCTGAGCTTGTCGATCAGAAAGGTCGGCAGTTCAGTGGTTCAAATCCCTAGCGCCACGTAACGGAGTGACCTCCCGTTACTTATCCCAGCTTAGGCCAACCTAGCAGTTCGAAAGCAGGTAAAAAAAGTGCAAGTAGAAAAATAGGGACCCCTTTGGTGGGAAGGTAACAGCGTTCCATGCACCTTTGGCCTTTAGTCATGCCGGCCACATGACCACGGAGACGTCTTCGGACAGCACTGGCTCTTCGACTTTGTAATGGAGATGAGCACCGCCCCCTAGAGCCGGAAACGACTAGCACGTATGTGCGAGGGGAAACTTTACCTTTATTTTTACCCATAAGACAGCTGCTCACAGGTTATTTTCCCTGGCATTGGTGCCACCCGGCCCTTCCGTCTGCCAAATAAAGGATACGGACTTCCTTTACAGATTTCTTACATCAATTACGACTAAGTTGCGTGTGTGCCTGAAACACTTAAAAAGATGCTCCCCAAAGCAGTCGCCCCTATGAAACAAAACTGGACTGCCTGACCTGTGCAAATGTTTTAATCTGTAGCGGTCCAGGATTTCTCTAAACTTAGTTTCTGGCACAGGACGAGGTAACAGATCTAAATTTTGGGAGCCTGCCCTGGTTTTTTTTTTCCCGAGGATGATGAGTCATTCTTTCCGTGCCTTATTCAGGATGTTTAAAAAGAAAAACCTCTTGAGGAACTGCCAGGACAGGGTTGGAGCAGCCAATGCCAAGAAAATGGAGACATGTTCAATTGTAACTGTAAAAAGCAACCAGGATGCAGAAGAAAAAAATTTTTCCCCACCATCGTCATACCTGTGCAGGCAGAAATGTTGGTATCCAACTGATGGCCGGGAGGACATTCACACTTGTAGCTTCCTTCAGTATTGTGGCAAATGCCCCCTCTGCACAACAAGGGGTTTCGTTCGCATTCATCGATATCTGCAAAAGAAGGGACAAAAATTGCTTGTGAAAATGTGCAAGGAGAGGAGAAGAGGGGCAGAGTGTTTTAGGATCTAAAGTTTCCGACGTGAGAGTGTGTGTTTACTTGCTCTTCTGGGCTCTGTGCCTCCTCCCCAATTTTTCTCTTCTGCCAGCAACTCCTCTAACCAACTTCCAAGTGCTGTTTCCTTCCTTTTCTCTGCCCCAAGGGAGCCCCTTCTCAAACGCTGTTCTCCCCTGCAACTCGCATGCATCTCTTTATCGCTCGGGGGTTCCTGCATTTCCTGTTCTCTTCTGGTCTTCCATTCTGCCTTTGTCTGGCTGTTTCCCTTTCTGCTGAGATGTAGTGACTGAGTCAGACCAGATCTTCTGGATTTGTCCAGATTTGGAAGTTAATTCTGGACCCAAGACACAACCAAGGTTTTCATGTGTTTGGTAGGAATCTGGGCAGGCAACGAACATCTCCCTGAACCTGGTTGTTTTCTTACAGATGTTTCATTACCAAACTGGGAAACTTCATCAATGCACTGAGGATGTTACCTAGTTTGGTAATGAAACATCAGCAAGAAAACCACCAAGCTCAAGAGGGCACCAAAGACCCCCCCCCCTCATTTCAACCCTGAGCTACAGATGTTCTCCTGTATTGGAATTAACATCTCCAAAAACAGGGCAAAGGAGAATCATTTCATCCATTACTATCAAAAATATGTGTCTTTCTCCAAGATGGGGAAAAAAGCAGATTTCATGGTACAAGTTTAGACTTTAGAGCATCATGATCACAATTTAGAAAGAGTACAGCAGCTTTCCTCAATCTGATCATTTCTAGTTGAGTTTGGAGGAGATCTGGAGAGGGACAGATTGGATAAGCATCTTGTACACATTTGACTTTTAGAAGTCAAATCAACTTAAAAAAACAAGAAAGAAAGAAAAATTGTAGATACCAAAGGGAACATTTTCCCCCAGTGCAATTCTTCTTCACAGCTGTTGCAATAAAAATGGAGGTCAGGTGCCCACCACCCTTTAAAGTAATCGTGACTTTAAGGCAGTGGTGGTATGCTATCAGTTTAGACCGGTTCAACCTGGTTCAGCCGAACCGGTAGTAAAAGAAAAAGCTTCCAATGATCAGCTGAGAGGACAGAAAAAAAATCAATCCGCTGAGAGGAGAAAAGAAAAAAGTGCAGGATCGGTCCTCCTGCCTATCCTTGCACTCTTCTTTATCCTCTCAGTTGATTGGTGCTGCAGGCCTCAGCTGGTGTCAGGTAAGATGCACGCGCGCATTAGGTGCTCGTGTATGCACGGGCAATCGCCACTGGTAGTGGAATAGGTAGGATCCCACTGCTGCTTTAAGGACCTCACAAGATGGACCTCAGGCCCAAAGCAAATATGTGATAAAATAACATACCCATACAGTTTTTCATCATCATAAATCCACTTTCGTAGCCCTCGAAGCATTCACAGTGGAAGTCTCCTGGAGTATTGACGCAAATTCCTTGGCCACAAAGATCAGGAGAAATGCGACATTCATCTATATCTGCAAGAGAAGAAAGAAGAAGCTTATTTCAGAAATTAATATACACATGGCAAGCACTGGCTAAAAGGGTAAAACACAAATAAACAAAAACCCAAGTCACACAAATAGAAACACTTAGTTATTCCATTTTTATTTCCAGGGAAAGTCTCCATCAAAGTACTTGGCAAAGTTTGACTAGCCTTAGAAAAATTTGGGTAGATTATGGGCATGATAAAAACTGCCCAATCTGTGGTGGAAGGGTTAAATGGAAGAGGGGAGTTAAGAGGTGTGCCAGTATGGGGTCTCCTCCAGGGAAAAAAATATATCATAGACCAGAGGAATGAAGCTTTATCTTTTGGTTCCCAAAGGAATGCAGTTAGTGTGGTGAAATTCTTATAATAAAGGTGATCAACAATAAACTACTTTGGCCTATTCGCACAGCTGTTCTGATTCCTTGTGCCTGACAGGAAATGAGGAAATAAAGCCCATGTGTCACCTCACCCCGATTCCCAAGAACAGTATTTGATACCCAAAAGTCACACTGTCTCCATATCATTTTTAAAATCAGGCTTCCCCAAGCTACCTTAATCATCTACCTCAGAATTCCCCAAATAAATAAGAGATCCTTCATAGTTCCTGAGTTCCTTTGACTACCAGGCTGTTTGAATACAGTTCGGACATGGAAATAGAAACAGCAGTTTACATTTTCAGATAACTGCTATAAACTTATTTTAGACCCCAATCTGCTTTATTTCTCTCGTTATCTTTTAAAAAATAAGTTTTGTCTAATTCAGTGATGGAAGTTGGGTATTAACGGGGAAATAGTCTCAGATAATTCTTCTACTGCTTTAAGGGGAAAAAATATGTAGGAAATCACCAGGCTAAGCCTGTGGGAGGAGTCAAACACGTCATCAGTCTCGTGTCTCTCCATATCCACAAGAGATCTAAGCCCAGCCCACCTTGAATTCCATTGACTCTTATCGACCGCCAATTTGCTTTGACCGTTAGTGGTTCAGATTCTTGTAGAGAACATTAGCATACAATAAACCTATATTAATTTGAACCTCCTGGACTCCTGATTTCCTGTGTTTGACAGAAAAGAGATAATTCTTCCCATCACTGTTAGGATGTTTAGCTAATTATTTTCCATTTAAAGGTTATGGATGCTGTGGGACTTCTCAGTTCCTTACTGGCTAAGAAACATGAACCGGCAGTAGAATAGGAATATATTTCACCAGAGGTTGCACAAAGAAACAAAACATCATCTGAAGTCAAGAAATTTACCTGTACAAAAATAGTTTAGTCCAATGAATGTTTAATAATTGATATTACATAAGCACAAGCTAGATTGATAAGGTGAGAATTTATATAATTTGTGAGTAATGGTTAAAAAAAAGGATAGCACAAAAGATTGTAACCAACAGACACACTGTATGTATATAATTGAAAGAGGGTTTTATGTTTTTATGTTTTGTTTGTATGTTTGTTGTAAAAAATAAAAACTTTGTTTTTTTTTAAAAAAAGAAATTTACCTGTACAGTTCCTCTCATCAGAATCAAGTGCAAACCCACTGTCGCATTTACACCGGAAGCTGCCAATGGTGTTTCTACATTTTCCATAGGTGCACAATCTTGGAATCATTTTGCATTCGTTGATATCTGAGATCAAGATACAGTCATTTGTCAAAATAAAACCCAGTAAATATAACCATCAACAAATCACAATAAATAATATCACTACAATTTTATAATTGGTGAACTATTTGAAGTGTAGCAACTAAGCATTATGCAGTGCTTTTATGCATCCGAAGAGGAATTATAATTAATTTTACATTATGTATATGAAGGACAGCAGATTACTTCTAATTTTTCCCTAGAAATAGATTTGATGTGCTTTGTTTTGGTCAAAAGAAGAGCCATCCTGAATAATTTTTCCCCAACTAGTACTTAACTTGCATTAATCAGAACAACAGAATAATAGAGTTGGAAGGAACCTTGGAGGTCATCTAGTCCAACCCCCTGATCAAACAAGAAACTCTACTTGGGAGGAAGTAAAACCATTAAACACAACGGACTTTACTTTTGATGTGATATGAATAGGACTGTGTTTCAGTACTATTTTTGCTTTTGCTGGGATATTTGTTTTGCTTTCTTTATCTTCCCTCTGCAATTTCTTCAAGTTTTCTATGTCCCACCCTGTTTCTATTAGTGAGTCATAAAATGCTTAGTCAAGTGAGATAATTCATTGACAATAATGTCTGCGCTGGGTGCAATCTCCAATTCTTAGAAAATTTATTAGCCACCAATTTCCAATGTCTTAACTGGAATAACATTCCATTTGAATAAGAATGGCTTAGCTAAAACAAATAATCATGATGGACGCTTTACAGGTTGGCAACTGTTACTTTGGATTTCAAAGAAAGTATGACTCATAATTATTTCCTCGCCCTTGTCTGATTCCTATCCAATTCCCATCATGACCACCCTTGGCAGACTCAGAGGGGAGAACAACCTTTAAGTATGTTTGAGTTCTTCTTTGGTCTCCTTGGAGAAGACACATTTAGGTCAGTCAATGCCTAGCATCTCCTCCCAAGCCCAACATCTCAGCAAGAATTCAGAACAAGAGAATGAGTCCTGTAAATGTTCTTCTATTATCAGATTAGGTAGGGAAGAGTCAACTGTATCATTCTGGGATTATAACTGGAATACCAAAAGATACCACTCTTGAGAGAGTAGACTTTTTAACAGGTTAGGGAATTTGAAACTGACTGTGAGAATTTGGGAGCAGAGAACCAAGCTCCAATTTTATTTCCAACGGTTTGGGTTTTTTAACCCCAATTGTTGCACTGAAAATACGATAAGCTTCACCAGTTCAGAACTGGGAATAAAAGAGGAAAAATTCCCCATCTTTGTGCTCTGATTTTCAAGAAAACTGCCCTTCCTCTCCAGATTTGGTCAAACCCAACCACATTAGAGGGGTTGCGATTTGCCTCAAAGGAAGGCGGGAGAAACTAAACAAATACATTCATCAGAACTCTTCTTTGCAGGGGCAGCCATTTTGTCTCACCTTTATAGAAAGGCTTCCCATTTATAACCTCTCCCCTGGTGGAAAATCCCGGTCCCCTTGGGCAGAGAGCTTCATACTCAGGGGTGGATCTTATGGGACATTCATCACAGTCCGGTCCCCAGGCGGCCCCAACAGAGCAACAGCAAGCATCCAGCCGGTGTCGTCCTCCGATGGGTGAGGTGCAATCTTCATCATCGTGTTTCAAATAGCAGGACTCCAAGCGAATATCTGTTGGGGGGATATTTAACAATCATCAACGAATTAGGGGTAGAGTAAAGAAACAAGGGTACACCACCATCTGGAAAATCTTGAAACCCTCCACCTTTTGCAATTTTATAATGTTGTTTTTACATTTTTAAATTATCACCTCAAATTATGCAGTTTTATTGTCTCAATTAAATGGTACACCTGCCCAGAGCCCCTCTGTGAGAGAGATGGGCAGTTAAAATGTTTGATATATAAATAAATATAAAATGGGGCACGGAGGGAGGCAGGGAATGAATATGGAAAACCACGTAGAGCTATTAGTCCAAAGCTATACAAGATATGCTCGTATGTTTTTGTAGCCGAAAAACTAATTTCTTAGCAGAAACTAAAAAGCTTAGCAGACATTGCACATTTAGATTAGCTTTAGATTAACAGAGTTGGAAGGGACCTTGTAGGTCATCTAGTCCAACCCCCTGCCCAAGCAGGAGACCCTACACCATTTCTGACAAATGGCAGTCCAATCTCTTCTTGAAAATCTCAAGTGATGACGCCCCCACAACTTCCAAAGTAAGTAAACATTTAAGCTATGTTTTGTTCAAATCGACTATAGATAATTGGCTTCATGCAGCTTCCAAAACCATAAACTATGTTTTTCAAGACATAATGGTTGTCAACAAAACATGCAGATGCAAAGTGAAATAAACCATGTTAGGGCTATGAATGTTTGAGCCCTATCATGCTTAGCCTCTTCCATGAAGGGGAGTCATTTTCAGTTCCTTCTCCTAAAAAGACTGTCCATTTTGAATAAAATGGGGTGCTGAGAATGGCTTTTGTATTTAAGAGTCTTTTGGGATGCCTTTAGCTAGTTGCACACATTATGTTTTTCCTATTTCTCTCCCAGATCCCTCTACTATTCTATTCTTTTCAACTGCTTCTACCCATCTGGCATAGAAAACTACAATCAAAGCAGAAATATCCATCTTTCAAATCATAATGCTCATTTAAATTAGAGAATCACAAAGTACTTGGTGAATAATAACAGTTTCCTTTGCTGCCACAACTGTTAACCATTTTATTTGGGAATCCTTATCATTTTGCTGTAGATAAAGATAATATCTTCTTAGGTCATGTCTAGCTGGCCATCCCAACTGTCAATGGCTTTAAAGATTAGGAAAAGAAATATATCAGAAACAGCTTTCATAAGACTTAACAAGCCACAACGGGAAGACTTAAGTTCAGCTATCCCTCCTGGTACATATTTTTCTCTCTCCAAAGACTCACTGAAAGCAGAGAACTGAGAGGAAAAATCTGTTTTTAGCATTCTCTCATATGGTGGACAGCAAAAATTAAACCAAGGAGTAACCCTTGGTTTATAGAAGATTCCCACAGTTCAATCAGAATAGAGTTGGAAGGGACCTTGGAGGTCTTCTAATCCAATCTCCCTGTCAAGGAGACCCTATACCACTTCAGACAAATGACTGTCCTTAAAGACCTCCAGTGGTGGAGCAGCCACGACTTCTGAAGGCAAGCTGCGCCACTAGTTAATTGTCCTCATTATTAGGAAGTTTCTCCTTAATTCCAAGTTGCTTCTCTCCTTGATTCATTTCCATCCATTGCTTCTTGTCCTGCCCTTTGGGGCTTTGGAAAATAAGTTGACCCTCTCCTGTTTGTGGCAACCTCTTAAATACTGGAATACTGCTATCATGTCCTTCCTTTCTCTAGACTAGCCAAGCCCAAATCCTGCAACCATTCTTCATACGTTTTAGTCTCCAGGCCTTTAATCATCTTAGTTGCTCTTCTTTGCACTTTTTACAAAGCCTCAACATCTTTTTTCTAATGTGGTGACCAAAACTGGATGTAGGATTCCAGATGTGGCCTTACTACTGTACTAAGGCTTTATAAAGTGGTACTAATACTTCACATGAAAGAGATCAATCGTAACATAAAGCCATGAATGAGTTTTCATCACAACTTACAACATTAGAGCCCTGAACACTTACCAATACATCTTCGTCCAGTTGCATCCAAAATCATTCCATTGGGACACTGACATATGAAGGATCCCAAAGTGTTGACGCATTGGCCATTGGTACATACCCCAGGAAACACTTGACACTCATTGACATCTTCGCACATATTGAAAAAGAAAGATGTAAAATGTCAGTAAAGATATAGATCAGGGGCCTTCAAACTTGACAGCTTTAAGACTTGTGGACTTCAACTCCCAGAATTCCTCCTCCAGTCATGTTAGCTCAGGAATTCTGGGAGTTGAAGTCCACAAGTTTTAAACTTGCCAAGTTTGAAGACCCTTGACATAGATGGATCCAATACCTCCATCATACTGGGTTTTTTTTTCAAAAGGGAGAAGTCTATCTCTATTATTATTTTAGACATGGTTTGCCAACTATATTTAGAAACAAAAGAAACACATACATTATTCATTTAGTGCACAATCTAGGGACATTTGTGATTCGTAGGAAAATGCTTCCATTTTTAAGAACTTAAATTTAATTATATCAAACAGAGCTGGCTTCAATTTCCTACTGTGGGAAAAAGGTACTGCCTCCATATACGGTAGCCCCAGGCAGACAGGAAAAGATAAAACAAAAATATAAATATAAATCAAAGATATAATTTGATTGTTGTCATTGTGGGTAGGTGGGTGGGAGTTATTCCTTTTTTTTAATTGTTGGCTTTTTAATCTTTGTAAATCACTAAGAGTGAATTGGGCAGCCATTACAAGTTTTCCTAAATAAACAAACAAATAAATACATGAGAGAATTACTGCAGGCCACTCATTTTTGGAAAAATAAGGGACAAACTTGCAACTGTAGGTTCCAAATTTGTTCTGCAAAAACATCTGACATTTAAAAGGGCTGCGTGCCAGGCTCTTGACACAATTGCTTAAGAAAGCATATTTAAGAGAGCAGTAGGGAGGAGAACATTGTTTACCACCGGCCCCTAAGGAAAATGACTCCGTTAACTTTTCAAAATGCTGAAAAGCCTGTGCCCATTGTATCCAAGACTACTATCTTGGAAGAATAACTTTCCATGTCTGAACACTGAAAAAATGTTCCGAGTCTTCCCTTGCAATCTGGATTAGGCGGAGCCCCGTTTTCCTCTCCTGGGTTAGATAAGTTATGTACAGTCAATCTGTGATAGAATAGATCCAAGCTATTGGGTCATTATCTTGGAAAGTGAAAAAGCAAAAAAGAAGAAGAAGAAGAGAGAGAGAGAGTGATGGGCCATTCCTTGTCTCACTCTCCTCCTGAAACAACACATATGGGAATCATTTGTTTTTTCAAACGGATCGGCAGCTGTGCTGTGTCAGGTTGTGTTAGTCGGTCTGACCCAACACAGTATAACAGGCTCGAGGAAAAGGCTTAATGGACAGGACTATGGATGTCACTTGGAAGCTTGGTGGTCAAGGCAGACTACTCCATCAGTACTACTTCCAGTGGTGACTGATAGAAAGGAAACAGTGAAAGGGTGCCTTCCAAACAGGCTGGGGAAAGGGATAAACGGGGAGGGAAGACCTTCGGAACATGATGCACACCATTCCTTTCACTTTCTTTGACAACCGCCACGGATGGGAAGAGGACATCCTATCCGGTCTTCAAGGATCCCTCCACAACTGATTTTAACCAATTCAGTTCCTCGACAAGCATTTCTACTTAACCTTCTGCTTCTCAAGCAAGGTTCCCACCCGTTCTTCTATCAGGTCTTTCTAATATTTCTGGGATATTGCAAGACTCCTTCGTTTTTTGTTTTTCTCCACCAACTTTTTATGTATTGCAATGACTGCCAATCCTGAAGTGAACCTGGCTGAGGCCATCTTGGGGGCTTCAGAGTTGCCACACAACAGAGGGAGGGGGGAAATAGCTAGATAGGGTCTTGTAGTCAAAACAAATTAAGTTTTCCTGAGGGAACCAAGGACATTCCGACAGGTGGCTGGCCAGGGGACAAGTAAAGTAACCAAGCAACCTGCCAGCACCTTGATTGGACAGCTTGACCAGTCACTTCGGGGAAAGGGGAAACTTTTACTTTTTCATTAGGTGAAAGGTGTGAGAAGTTTCAGAGTCAGCTTTCACCAGTGGTGCCAGTATGATGTATCCAATAAATTGTCCTTTGAGGGATTTGCCTGCCTCAGAGTTCTGCTTTCAATGGGTGCATTATCATATCTGGAGACAAGGAAGACGAAAACCAGAAGGATCTACAGACCCACCCTAGGAAAAAAGGGTTAACACATCATCTGCTTGGAATATTTTGCAATACCAAACGCAATGTTGTAATTTGTGGCTCATCCTTTTTCCCCTCAAGGACCAAAGGAATTGCAAAGACCATTGTTAATAAAGATGGATGAATTTGTCTCTTTTGACTCACTTTCTTATTTTTCCCATCTTTAGGTTTTCTTCTATCGGGGGAATTTTCGCATAAAAAATTGGACCGCGGTTATTACGAAGCATGTTTTTGGGGTATGCAGATTTCCTTTCTGAACACATTTTCTGAAGTGTAGTGCATTTTTCTGCATACTTGTTCCTTCTATGTCATTCTCTTTTAACACATGCATTTTCATACATTGTATAAAAAAAATTGGCAACCCACTCTCAAAATTCTGAAATGTGCAGCTGCATTGAAGAATGAGTATAACCTTTAAAAGGATTTCTGAAACCCAACTCTTCTGAGATTTAATGTCCTTTTTTGTTTTGTACTTGAAACATTACACTCTCAGTGTCAAAATTGGGAGTTTTGTGAAATTCCACTCTAAAAAAGTTTCAAAAGCAAACATTCTCAACACAATTATTAAGTGGACATTATTATTATTATTATTATTATTATTATTATTATTATTATTATTAT